GGGGAGAATGTAATCAACTGTGAATGAATAGCACATGCAAGAACAAGATGGTGAGAGAGGACATGGCATGTTTGAGGATTTGGAAGTAATTCAACATGGCTGGAGAGTAAGATGTGAGGTTAGGAAGAATGGAAAGTTGAGGCTGGAAAGATAGAGAGAGGACCTCTAATGAAAGGCTATGCTAAAATGTTTGAATTTTATCCAAAATGTAATCGTCTCTGACTTTAATTTTAAGTAATATGTACAAGGATTTGCAACAGATTTTGCAAGATGAAATAGAAAACCAAATAACACATATGAATTCAGCCATGCAATTATCCAGCCTGGTCAAATAAGGATTCTAGTTAAACTGGTTTAGACCCAGTCTTGAAAATACAGGGGAGCTGTGCTCGCTTCAGCAGCACATATATGAAATTATAGGGGAGCCCCTTTTTTGGGGGGAACAGATACAACTCCAAATGTTTACATCAAATTTATTTTGTCTATTCCAGGATTTGGCATTAAAAAATCATCTTAAAAGAGTCTTCAAAGATCACATCAAGGGCTCTAGAGAAATCTAACTTTATTCCATATTAATTTTTACAAATTAATATAAACCTTGAAGTAGCTTTAAAAATGAAGGCTAGGTAGAATAAAGAGTTATCACATCAAACAAGAAGGGTGTGTTGATTTAACTATAAATGGTTAGAGGTCACTGTTGTTTGAAAAACGTACCCTTTCAACTATTTGAGGATAAGATGTTAGTTTAGGGACTAGTCGCAGTGAAAACTATAAGGAAATTTATTTAGGGATTTTTATCCCGTTTTCTAGACACATAGCTACCTAATAATTTTTTTTAATTTTTTTTTATTCTTAGGATGCTGGAAAAAAATCTACAACTGAGTGGTTTCAAGACACCACAAATGTAAGATCTGCAACTTCAGCTGGGCTCCATGCCCTGACCAGGATGTCTTAGTCAGCTGTCTTTCTCATTTTTCTCAATAGCCATGCCAAACATTCAACTCTCTGCCCAAGGCTTCTTACTTAGTTGCAACAATTGCCTTGCTGTTACTCACTGGCTGGGAAAAGAGCATGAAAGGTTACATACAGAGTTGTCTAAATGATGTGAGATCAGCGGACAGCCAAGGAAAACATGCACATTTAAGGGGTATCTGGATGATGGTGGGCCCTTAGGAGAGGAAGCAAAATTCGGAGGCCTCCAAAGGTTTTAGCACCACAAAACCCAAAAGAAGTCTGCCAACCCCTGATTTAACCAATGCCGTGTTTCCCCAAAAATAAGACCGGGTCTTATATTAATTTTTGCTCCAACAATCTACATTTATTCATTTATTCATGTACAAAAATCTACATTTATTCAAACAGTCATGTCTGGCTGATGATCTTAACTGGGGCTTATGTTTGAGATAGGGCTCATATAACAAGCATCCTGAAAAATCATGCTAGGGCTTATTTTCCAGTTAGGTCTTATTTGCAGAGAAACACAGTAAACAAGCAATGGTGAACCAGCCTTGTGCTACAGGAGTCTATACTCCAGTCAGAGATGCAGGCATCTGTAGCACAATGGGATATGTATTTTGATAGTGGAAATCAAAAGTGTTATAGGAGCACATAAAAACATACAAACATTTAACCAAACATTTCATCAACACTTAATCAAATGTTTCTCTCATATATTCCCATGGCACTTTTTATTTCCACAATCAAAATACCTATCACATTGTACTATATAATTGCTTATATCTCTGATTGAAGCATAAGGTTTGGGAGATCAGAGACTTTTTATAATATATCGAGCATCTAACGCTGGCTGGCAGATTAGTAGATGCTCTCTAAATGGACCAATTTTTTAAGGGGATTAATTCATTTAGGACATAAAATACTCAGGTAAGATGCTAAAGAATATGGTTGAGTCACCATTCCAAAAGACTACTGATATTTCCAGCACAAGGAAACTAAATTAAGATGTCATTTAATTGTCACATCCAGTTCATTGTAAATTTAAATTATCAAAATCTTTCAGGCTTGGGCCGGCCGAGTGGCGCAATGGTTAAGAACTCGCTTGGGATGCCAGAGGGCCCCGGTTCGGATCCCACATATGAGGGCCAATGACACTGCCCTCCACAGCTAAGATGCTGAACAACAGCTCAACCTGGAGCTGGGCTGCCGTGAGTCGCTGGCGACGGCGTAGGCGTAGGCTGCAGTCCCTGTGGCAGTGGGTTGCCATGGGCTACCGTATGTAGCCAGCAGCCAGCAGCCAGCGTGAGCGGCCAGCAGCCGCAATGAGCGGCCGTCCAGAAGCCGGCGACTGATGTGCCTCGCCAGGGAAGAGCGCAATGATGGTGCCAACTTGGGCCAGTGAAGCGGCGTCCTCCACAACTAGATTGAAGAACAAAAAAATGACAGCAACTTGTCTGTTCCCCTTCCCCCAATTCCCCATCACTGTTCCCATCCCCCCAATTACCCAATAAAAATCTTTAAAAAAAAAATCTTTCAGGCTTATATCCTATTCCAAAGAGGTACGACTATACCTGGGGTCTCCTGAGCAATAAAATAGAAACTCTGGGTCTGGTTGCCTGCACCTGAGAGGCTGACTGAAAACCTCGCCCACAGCTGGAGGCCTACATAATTTTCATATTGTTGTTTTAACTCTTTTTGGAATATTTTATTGTGAATTTTTAATGTTAAGGCCTAGCCTAAAAATATGACCTTAGAATCCTCTTGGCTTCTCTTTATTTTACACACACACACACCCCAGTTTATATTCATTATTATCGCACATATAACAGGTACATCCATATATACACAATCCATATATGTGCATATACACAGAATATCAGATCTGGGAGAGCAGGAATGATGCCGTTTTGTTCAGCACTATATTTCCAGAATCTAAACAACACCTGATAAATAGGAGGAATTCAATAAATATTCACTGACTGACTCTGCCTATTTCCACGGTATGACTTTCTTATTTTAGAATTTTCAACAATATTCTTACAGACGTGATGTGAATGGAGACCAATTTACTTTCTTTGGGTATTTGTTTCTTCGTTTACAAAATGGGGGAAATTCAATAATCTATAAATTTTCCATTTATGAAAAAAACATGACTGTAATCAAAACTTACATGAATTATAAAATATTTTTTCTACTCAATTCACTGTGATTTCCTTTAGCTCTTTTCTTATTGTCATATACAATAATGCATATCTAGTAATAGTTCTCAAAGCACTTTTGTTTCCATTATTTCCTTTGATACCTCAAGCTCCTGGAGCATTATACTTATTACTTATGTTTTACAGAAAAAGAATTACAGGCTCAGGGAGGGTATATGAGTTACTCAAATTCACCATGCATCTCATTTCACTAAACCAATCTGTTATGAATAAAAGTTTTTGGCTTGGCTAATACTTTAAATATTTCTACAGTCCTGGTATAGACCCATGAATTATAATAAATAATCCTCCAAAATTTTTTTCAATAAATATTCATCATCGTATGTGTGGTTTAAGAGAGTCTACCACAATTTTCCAATCTTCCCCAAGGGTTTTGATTAGACTTTAGCCCAGCAATTTCTATAGGAAAAGAGAAAGCTATTGGCATGTTTCAGTTGAGTGGACAAAAGATGACCAAATTTACTCCCAGTCCATCCTATAGTAATATCTCCTGTTTCTCCAAGTTGACTTATTCCTTTGAGTAAAGGCATTGCTTCCAGAAAGACCCTGCAGTGAATGAAAATACAGAAAAATCAGAAATATTTGGGTTCACATCCCCGCTCCACCATTGGCTAGCATTGTGACTGTAAACAAATCTTAGGTCACCCTTTCTTCACCAGTAAAGTGTACTAAGAATAACTACTTCTTAAGAAAAATGTAATAATGAAATTCGACACTGTAAATTGGTGCCACATTCAACAAATGGGGGGAGCTCCTCCCCATCCTGGTAACTTGGGGGAGCAATATATCAATCTAATCAATCACACTTGAACAAACAAGTCTTAAGGAAATGGAAGGAGGAAAAGGAAAAACAAGATAGGTCTGGAATATGATATTCAAGAAATGTAGCTGAATGAAAAAATTAATTACAGACAGGTACTAGCTGTACATATTTTGATAAAAGCAGTGAAGAACTACACTTCCAATACTCTTAGCACAAAACAATTACAATTCAGTCCCAGAAAGAATAGTTGGCATTTCATTGCAATCACTTTAACTGAATTTGTTTTCCTTTAACCTGGAGTTTCTTGTAGGACTATGTGGATTTGAGCACCACTGGAGCCATTCCACTTGTGAGCTGGTTATTTAACATCATTCTCAAGTCTAGAGAAATCAAAAGAATGTTCTCTAGTCTAATTCAAATCTAGATTATAGGAATAAACAACTAAGGGGAAAAGATTTGTTTAGTAGCCATAAGAAATGAGGCCTGGCTTGGAAACATAGGTTTTGAGAAGGAGTTGTTTGCCAGACAGAAGAAACAGAAAACTTAAGAACTGAGGAAGTGGGATTAATGTAATATCTCAAAGGTTGGATCAGATAATTTTTTAAAGTCCTTTCAATCTCCAAGATTCTATAAACTTCCTGGTTTAAAACTTCCTTCTAAAATGTATTCTACAACAGTTTCTACAAGTACACTGTATTCTTGCAATATGTCCAGGAAAACTTGAATTCAGTGGTTTGTGCTTTGATAGTAATGGTGATTTTTATTGTATTCTTAATTTCAGAAGGTCATCTTCTAGAACATACATTGTGGTGGATGTACGCGGTCTGACAATTAAGTTCGTGAACTTGTTGCAACGATGTTGCTAACCTTTTCTGAGATCAGAGGGATTATCCATTAGGAATTTGTATCAACTGGATAAACAGTTAACCAAGTTTACTATTTGGAAGTGCTGAGAAGGCTGCATGAAAAAGTTAAACAACCTGAACTTTTCGCCAACAATTCATGGCTCTTGACAATGCACCAGCTCACATGGCACTGTCTGTGAGGGAGTTTTTAGCCAGTAAACAAATCACTGTATTGGAACACCTCCCTACTCACCTGATCTGGCCCCCAATGTCTTCCTTCTTTACCGGTAAATAAAGGATATACTGAAAGAAAGACATTTTGATGAAACTCAGGACATCAAGGGTAATACAACCATAGCTCTGATTGCTCTGAAGAGTGGACTAGGCGCAAGCATCAGTGCATAGCTTCCCAAAGGGAGATTCAGCAATGAGAAATGTAGCACTTTTTCTAGGATGAGTTCACGAACTTAACTGTACCTCACATATTGACAGTGAGTAAGAAACTAAGCTCCAGTGGTCAAGCAGCTCCTTTTGTTCCCAGCAGCAAGCACTGGGCCCACTCTGATAAAAACCATTCCTAACAGGAAGTTTCCCTCTCCTCTTCCCATCTTCTGGCTCACTTGACACTTCCCATTCAGGAACTTCTCATTATTACCATGTCACCCTTCCCTCTTCCCCACTTCACCCCATCCCACCCCCCACCCCCCACCCCCACACACACACTCCCAGGGCTCTGAAGTCTTCACAATAAAAATCGAATGACACTTCCTTCCAAAAAGGTGGGAATCTCTGTTTTAAAGGAAGCTGAAAGCTAGGAAGGGTATGATCATCATTAACCCAATATCTTACATTTCCAGGGCACTTCCATGCACTTTCTTCTTTAGCTTCACGACAATCTTATTAAAAACTAGGAGGGATTCAAAAGAAATAATCCAGGAATATATGATGCAGAGGGCCTGAAAGCCTGGATTATGGAGAGAAGAAAGAGAGGAAATCTATGACACAGTCCCTAGAGACCCTGAGCCAAGCTGGTGAAGGGGATGCTGGCGCAGGCAGCGGCTTTGAAAAGCCAAAGGGGTGCATTTATCTCTGTTGAAGGTCAAGGGAAGCTTCAACTCACTGGTTGGCTCTTGAATGGGGGAGTGGGGAGCAGGGAGAGGAGCAGGGCACGTCATGTACTAAGATCTATGTGAATGTCAAGATTTAGCAAATGAATTTTGGCTGTGATGAAGTTCCATTATATTATGAATCTGCATTTTTTAATGGAAAAAGGGGTTTCCAAGACTTCGAAAACACCAGGGAGAAGAAATCTTAGAGTCTGAGCCTTAACGGTGAGAGCGAAGTAGGAGAAGGAATGACCAGAAGAAAATCAGCGGGGACAACAGAATAAAATATTTCACGCATTTAACAGGTGCCCAGTTAAGTAACGTGAGGCCCGTAGATTTCAACGGTATAAACTCTGCAGCGTTCTCCCACACATAAAGGTTGTGACTATAAGCCGACCGTGTGTGCTAAACGCTATTGAATAGGTAGAAAGGGGAGCCAAGGAAGGCGAAGAAGGCCAGGGTCAGAACAGGGATGCTAGTCTCTGGAAGCAGCCTCTGTACACAAAGCTCTCTTTAGGGGTAAAAATGAAGATTCATTAAAGAGTAAGCAAATAGCATAACAAGAAACTCCCTGGAAGGGCCTTGAGCCTGACTGTGGTGGCTGCCCTTTGACCCTTAGCTATGGTAGGACAGGATGATGCAACCAGCTTCACCCTGAAGCTCTTTCGTGAAGCTGCAACGTTCTGGATGGGGCTACCTGGGGCTTTGGCAATTCTGAAGGGAAGACAGTACCTTCCCAGCCATCTCTTAAAAACCTACCTTCCCAGAAAAGCCGGTCGCGGGGCTGACAAATTCGTTTTGCATTTGGACTCACACGTGAGAACCGTTTTCTTCCCTGTCCTGAGGTTTCCTTCAGCCTTGCCTAAAGGTCATACAAATTATATTTATATTGCACCTGCTATTAAAGACGGCAGGGGTATTTCATTTAGTTTGAAAACCCCAATCCCTATTAGCTCCCGAGAGCTAGCAAGTGAATGGCCGCGTTTATTCCCAGGATCAGGAAATTTGGATCGAGACACCTTGTTTAGACCAGGCACCCAAGGTCACTCTGAAAAACGTGTGTCTATTGCTGTCTTCGTTCCAGTTTGGGGCCGGGGTTGCCTCGGCTGGCCGGAGACAGGCTGTGGGAGCGAAAGCAATTTTCCAACGGAGCAACCGGCCTAAAGGGCACGCCAGGTCCACGCCGTGGTTTTCCATCTCCAGAGCAGGGGGACAGTGCAGCCGTTACCTGGATGCGCGAGAAGTGGGTCGCGCAACGCAGACCCTCCCGCCTTTGGGTGTTTCCTCTACGGCGGGAACCGGGGCTTCTGCAGTGCGCCGCCCCGCCCCGCCCCGAGTGGCTTCGGGAAACAGATCCTGCAGCTCGAGCGGCGGGGGCCCTGCGGACTGAGAGCGAGCCTCCAGGTCCGGAGCAGGGAGGTCCTGCTTGGACAGGACCCTCGGCCCACCCCGTGCATCCCTTATCGCGCCAGTGTTTCTGCGTGCCACCTACCCACGCGGGCCCCTCTGGTCCGCCGCCCTTCTCCCCACTTGCTCCGCTGCCGGGGCCGCGGCCGAGCGCCTGCAGAGGCCGAGGGGCCTCCGGGACCCAAGCGCGCGGGCAGCGGAGGCACCACGTGTCCGGCCCGGGCTGGCGCGGGCGGAGCGGGCAGGGCCCCGCTCCGCGAGCCTGAACGCGCACCAGCTGTGGAGCCGGGGCGCGTACGCGCTCGCACCTGGCCCAGCCGGGCCCCGGCCCCCCGGGCGCGCGGAGGCGCCTCCTCCTGGACCGTACGATGGAGACCTTCTGGGCGAGAAAGGGTAAGACCCGGCTTGGGCGAGGGCTCTGCTGTCAGTGCCCGCGGGCACGGGAGGGGGACTCGTTCACTGCGGTTCAATGAAGGTGGAAACGGACCCTGCGGGGCCCCGGGACCGCCCCTTCCAGTGCGGGAGCGGGGCAGTCCAGGGGGCTCCAGGGTCACCCTGAAGGAGGTCCTGGAAAAAAACGAGGACTCTTCACAAAGGGAGCCTAGGGGACAGTGACCCTCGTTGATTGGTTATTGAGATGGTTGGGCTGGACGCCCCGTGGCAACAGGTAAGGTTGGCTGGGCCGTCGGTTTCGAATCTCCCTTTACTGCTTGTCTTCCGGAGTGGGGCTTGGAAATGGTGCCCTTTGGTAAGGATGGATCAGTAAAGAATTGATGGTAAAAATCTTAAAAAAAAAAAAAATTGATGTTCTCCAAAAAGAAAGCCTTGGTAGATCTCCCCAAAGACATGGCTGGCCCAAAGTCCCCAGAGGACCCTTTTCAGGTTTCTGCTTCCTTGGGGATTTTCATACAGATTATTTGAGGGGAGGAGGAAGGATCCACTTTTCATCAATATGTTGTTGAAGGACTCAGTTGATGAACTCAATCATCTTCGTGCTGGTTGCAATGGGCAGGTTTGAATTGAAAATAAGAGTTAAATATAGAGATGAAGAGATCTGTAAGCTTAAATTTGGTGCGTGGGAAGAGATTCTTAAAGCTTTAAATGGAAGAAGTCACTTGGGGAAAATGGCTTTCCTATTTTTATTTTGTTCTCTCGTGTCCTGGAGCAAGTAGTGACAGCAAGGAAAGCAGGAAACTCCACTGCTCAGTTCCTTGCAGCATCTCTGGCCCTGACCAAGGAACAGCTCCAATGTCTGAATCTCCCCTCTCAGAAAAGGGCCACATTTGAACCCCACAGTTCAGAATCTTCAACTTAAAAAGCTTCTGCTGCACCACTGCAAGCTCAGATACTTGGTCAGGCACATTTTTGGGATGTTTGCTTCTTCTTTCCCAAAGGGTGCCGTTGGGGGGAAAGAAGTCAGGTAATCGCACTGCCTAGTTTTCTCCACCTGCACTTTTGGGGGGAATGGTAGCACCTGTCTCCTTGAGAGATAGGTTCAAGTGAAATCATGATTTTCACTTGCTTCAGGTTTTAGGGCAGGAATATATTATCATAATTTAGCTTTTGGTTACTTAAGTTATTTGACAATGACACTTTCAACACAGGATACATTGAAAACACCATTCGATCCTTGTTGATCTCCACATATTTAAATCATTTTATGAACTTGGTTGGCATTTAATAGTCTTTAAAGTTATATCATAGTTGAGACTAAATAATCATGAGTTCTTATACACTGGTGCCCTAAAAAAAGTGAGTTTAAACCTTTATTTTTTATGAATGAGCTACTGAGGCTGGCAGAGAGTGAGTTGTCCAGTGGCATGAATTAGCCATTGGTAGAGTTAGAATCAGCCATTTTCTAACACCTATTCCTGTGGTTTTCTCATATTTTAGTAAAAATATGTAAAGGATAAGCATAAAGGAGTAAATTTACAAATTAGTGATTGGCAGGGCTTAGAGATGGGGTGAAGGAATGGGTAGCATAAGGGAGATGTTGTGATGGTAGAAAGCTGTGTATCTTGATTGCTTGATTATGATGATGGTTATGCAAGTTTACATATGCGATAAAATGTCACAGCTGTAGACACAGATTGCTCTAATGTCAGTGTCCTAGTTTTGATATTTTAGTTATGTAAGATATAATCATTGGAGGAAACTGGGTGAAGGGTAAGGGTGTATGGGACTTCTCTGTACTACCTTTGCAATTTCCTGTGACTCTATAATTATTTTAAAAGAAAAGGCTTTTTTTTATGTTATTTTGCTAGTTACATCAAATTCCAACACTGGCTATTTTGCTTAATCTGAATGTATACAAAATACCTTGTCTTGCTACTTGTACTATTTTAAGTGTGTGATACAAACCAATGCCTGCCTGCATACTTATTTGATATTTTAAAAGACCATGTGCACTTCTAAGATAGTACTGCTTGTGCTAGGATATTAGTATATCCTGGAAAGACTAAATATAACAGCATCTTAGCAATAGATATTAATTTAAGGTTATTAAAATTTTGGAAAACGGAGAAAAAGTGTCTTCTTTGACTAGTGGTTGTGCTCAAATAACAACCTGATGTTTTTCTCTCTTTTAAATCTGCAAGAAAATACCGAGGTCTTACTTGGCCTTTTCTCCTTTTCTTAGTAGGATGTTTTCTGTGCTTCAGGTGATTAAAAGGGTAGCTATCACTGGGAAGAAGTGATGAGAAGAGATAAGCTTCCTATAGAAAGAAACTGATATGCATAAAGACTTTTCTCTTTGATAGAAATCAGGAATGTAAATTAAGTTAATTAAATATCTCAAAAGTCTTCTCTGGATTTTTAGAGCTCCCCTCACCAACTTCAGGGTGTTTCTTCTTTGAGGCTGGCTACCCATGGCAGGAGCCCCAGACACCCGAATGCATTCCTGAAAGAGATAGGAAACTAAAATTCTGGTGGTCCTGTAGACTGAGGTCCTTACAGGTTCTGGCAAAGAAAAGGAAGGTTCTTGTATACACACTTCTGACCACATAAATATCCTTCTCCAATGGAGAAGGCACCATTTCTAGAATTTCAGTTACTTTAGTATGCATCACAATTTTTACCACCTAAATATCAAATTGTACTACTATTTACTTAATATTATTATTTAAACTGACACACTATTTTCTACTTAGCCTTCACATAAGGGATAATATCCATGAAAGACCAGATTTTGTATGCCAGTTACTTTTCTCTAAATATGTCAGAAAACATATACAACTTTAAAAGAGACGTCCGTAGACCACCTACCAGCATCCCGTGAGGCATCAGTGGCACAGCCAGCACATCAGGAACAGTGTCCATCGGCAAGGCTTTGGGAGGTGCCCCAGGCCCTGGCGAAGGAGGAAGACCAGCTCCACAGAGCAGCTCCTGGTCAGTGGTGTCTCAGGAGAGAGAACCAGGTTCCCCCACCTCCTAGAAGCCATTTGAGAAATGACCTATTTATTGTTCCTTCTAGAAAAAAATAATTTTCAT